GGACAGACGAACAGACGGACTAACGAATCGTGGGTTATCTTCTTTTCATGCTGCATTCAATCAAATGCTCAAATGATTGAAAGACTTCTGCATAGAATTGATGATAGTGGAAAGAAGTGTCTGAGTGTGTGAGAGAAAGAGAAAGAGAGAGGGAGAGAGAGAGATAGATGCCTTATACTCGTTTAATGAAGGGGCTAGCCCATTCAAATGCTTTCAATCAACTGTTGAAATGATTGAGCAACGAACGAGTGCAACTGTGGCTATAGCTGAATCTGTTGAAAGATTAGAGATAAAACGTCTCGAGAGCTACCTTTGATGCTAGTAAAGAGTAGAATACAGAGAATAAAGCAATTATTCAGTTTTAAATATTTTTACTCAAATGCTGATAAGATTAAAGAACGTCAGAGAAAACTGTGAAAGATTTTTTCTCTGAAATGCTTTTTCTAGTTCCAGAAAAGAACAGCAATTAACGCAAGTGCTTTCACTCAATCGAAAAGTATGGAAATTGTTGTACCTATTGAAAATTTAGAGAGTTAAGCTTTTCTCTCTCTTTGACTCACCCTTCAATTCAATTGCTTTCAATCAAATTTTCAAATAATGAAAGAAAACCCAAATGCACTTCCCCCAACTGAAAAGCCCATTAGTGGGAGTAAACAAGTTTGAGTTCACTTGATATGCGAAAAAAAGAGAAAGGCATTTCGGTAGGCAAACACGAATGCTCTCAATCAAATGATTGAAGGACAAACACTGACAGCTGCTACAATTGATGAATCCACTTGAAGGTGACAAAGCTATTCTAGTCCACCTGCAGGCTACCTTAAAAGTGTAGCTGAAACTTTTGCTTTACATGAGCGTGAGCAAGAGAATGAAAATGGGAATGGGAATGAGAATGAGAGCTGCGTGAATACAATTGAAAACTATCAATCATGCAGTTAATCGAATTGTTAATTAATCAACAACAATGACGATTGCACACTTCCGACTGCCAGTGAATGAAATGCGAATGAAATGCTGCTGCCCATAGAAAAGTATAATAAATTGTTTCGGCGGTGTCGCTGTCGGCATCGATGTCGGTATCGCTATCTGTATCGGTTTCGGTCTGTTTTGTGGTCACCGGTTTCGAGTGTCTCCAAACTGGATGCCCATTGCGGTTCGATTCATTTTTTTTCCCTCTTTCTTTATTATTATTATTTCAATTCAGTGCACCGCTTGCATCAGCTCTAAATATTGACGAAATTGATGACTCGATTCTAGATTATGACTATGTATAGAATTGCGACTGTGATGCATGACGAGCTCGTTCAGTATATTTGTTTACCGCATCGAGTTAAGGGCATGATGACAGACCGTTCAGTTTGCCTGGAATGTGCTCTATAAACAGCGCCGTGGAATCATAATTCGATACAAATATTCTCTTTTCAAATTGGCATAATCAATAAATTGTTTACACATTTTCCGCCAGACAATTTACGTTTTAGCATAAACAATTTAGCGAACTCTGCTGAACCCATGTGCTACAAATAAAACAGTATTTAATTAACTCAAACGAATTTTTCGTTTACAATATCCAAAAATTATTGCCGGTATTTCAGAAATTCGGTGGTTTATTTTATATTTATATGGAAAACGCGAATTCAGTGAGGTAAGAATTTTTAGAACTGAACATTT